GGTGGTGCACGCCTGTAGTCCCAGCTACTCGGGAGGCTGAGGCAGGAGAATTGCTTGAACCCAGAAGGCGGAGGTTGCGGTGAGCTGAGATTGTGCCATTGCACTCCAGTCTGGGTAACAGCAGCGAAACTCTGTCTCAAAAAATTAAATAAATAAATACATACATACATTTAATTAAACTAAAAAAATAAAAAGAGCTGGGCATGGTGGCTCATGCCTGTAATCCCAGCACTTTGGGAGGCCAAGGTGGGCGGATCACAAGGTCAGGAGATTGAGACCATCCTGGCCAACATGGTGAAACCCCATCACTACTAAAAAATATACAAATCAGCTGGGTGTGGTAGCTTGCGCCTGTAATCCCAGCTACTTGAGAGGCTGAAGCAGGATAATTGCTTGAACCCAGGAGGTGGAGGTTGCAGTGAGCCGAGATTGTGCCATTGCACTCTAGCCCGGGTGACAGAGCAAGACTCCATCTCAAACAAAACAAAGCAAAAAACAGAAAAGAAATGAAAATGAAATGTAAGAGAAAGAAAGACACATGCAAACATATGCAAATGCATAAATATCTCTGGAAGGAAAAGTGATCTCCGACTTCCAGGTTCAAGTGATCCTCCTGCCTCACCCTCCGGAGTAGCTGGGACTACAGGGTGCACCACTATGCTTGGCTAATTTTTGTATTTTTAGTAGAGATAGGATTTCACCATGTTGCCCAGGCTGGTCTCAAACTCCTGGGTTCAAGAGATCTACCTGCGTTGGCCTCCCAAAGTGCTAGGATTACAGGTGTGAGCCACTGCGCCCGGCCCACACCCAATTTTTTTTTTTTTTTTTGAGACAGTCTCACTCTGTCACCCAAGTTGGAGTGCAGTGGCGCGATCTCAGCTCCTTCCACTTCATGAGTTCAAGTGATTCTCATGTCTCAGCCCCCTGAGTAGCGGACCACAGGCACATGCCACCACGCCTGGCTACTTTTTTTGTATTTTTAGTAGAGAAGGGGTTTCCCCAGGCTGGTCTTGAACTCCTGGCCTCAAGTGATCCTACTGCCTCAGCTTCCCAAAGCACTGGGATTATGGGTATGAGCCACCGCACCTGGCCCACACCCAATTTGAATTTTTTTTTTTCAGATGGAATCTCGCTCCGTCACCGGGCTGCAGCACAATGGCATGATCTCGGCCTATAGTGAGCCAAGATCGTGCCACTTCACTCCAGCCTGGGTGACAGAGCAAGAGTCTGTCTCAAAAAAAAAAAAAAAATAGTTCCTCCAAGTAAGGCATGATGGCACAAGCCTGTAGTCCCAGTTACTTGGGAGGCTGGGCTGGGAGGATGGCTTGAGTCCAGGAGGTGGAGGCTGCAGTGAGCTGTGATTGTGCCACTGTGCTCCAGCCTTTGAGACAAAGAAAGATCGTATCTCAAAACAAAACAAAACAAAAAAACATGGCTGGACCAGTGAACATTAGCCTTGATGCCAGTCACTGGGGCAGTGGGGCATGACTCAGTTTCCCCCATCACTGCCGGCTCTGCAGGTTTTGTTCCTCCCAGTGCAACTGAGGAAACTAAAATTCGCTGTCACTTCCCTCTCTCCATATCCCTGACTTCTAGCAATGCACGTGCTCCACCCCAGGCACGGATGACATGCTCGGGCTGTAGAGCCTGACTTCAGGTGAGGGGGGTTTTTTGTTTTGTTTTTTGTTACTGTTGTTGTTTTTGGAGACGGAGTTTCGCTCACCCAGGCTGGAGTGAAGCGGCGTGATCTCAGCTCACTGCAACCTCCACCTCCGCCTCCCGGGTTCAAGCAATTCTCCTGCCTTAGTCTCCTGAGTAGCTGGGATTACAGGTGCACGCCACTATGCCCAGCTAATTTTTGTTTTTTTAGTAGAGATGGGGTCTCACCAGGTTGGCCAGGCTGGTCTCGAACTCCTAGCTTCAGGTGATCTACCTGCCCCAGTCTCCCACAGTGCTGGGATTACAGTTGCAGGCGTGAGCCACCACACCCAGCCAGGTGAGTGTGTTGATCTGCTCTCTTCTCCACTTCACTTGGCCCTCATTCCCATGGCCAGCTCAGATGCCTCTCTGATGTTCTGTATTCTACCTGAAGCTGCCAAAGGCCAAAATAGCCACTGAGCATGTGACCTGGGGACTGGGCTTCCGAACAGGGATCAGGGGCAGTCCAGAGAACTCTCCCCTTGGCATTGGAGGAATTTGGGGGTGGAGCCAGTAAAGACCATAGTATCAGCCAGGTGCGGTGGCTCACGCCTGTAAACCCAGTACTTTGGGAGGCCGAGGTGGGTCGATCCCAAGGTCAGGAGTTTAAGACCAGCCTGGCCAAGATGGTGAAACCTCGTCTCTACTAAAAATACATAAATTAGCTGGACACAGTGGCAGGTGCCAGTAATCACAGCTACTCAGGAGGCTGAGGCAGGAGAATCACTTGAACCCAGGGGAGCGGAGGTTGCAGTGAGCCGAGATTGCACCACTGCACTCCAGCCTGGGTGACAGAGCAAGATTCTGTTTCAAAAAAATAAAAAATAAAAAGGCCATTGTGCCCTGGCAAATGGTGGCAAAATCAGAGTGGAACAAGCTGTCAGTGACCCACCCAGCCAGGCACTCTGGCTCAGGCCCGTAACCCCAGCACTTTGGGAGGTCGAGGTGGGCGGATCACAAGGTCAGGAGTTTGAGACAAGCCTGGCCAACATGGTGAAACCCCGTCTCTACTAAAAATACAAAAATTAGCCGTCTGTGGTGGTGCTCGCGTGTACTTCCAGCTACTCGGGAGGCTGAGGCTGGAGAATCACTTGAAATCAGGAGGCAGAGGTTGCAGTGAGCCAGATCACGCCGCTGCACTCCAGCCTGGCCGACAAGAATGAAACTACGGGCTGGGTGCGGTGGCTCACACCTGTGATCCCAGCACTTTGGGAGGCCGAGGCGGGTGGAGCACGAGGTCAAGAGATCGAGACCATCCTGGTCAACATGGTAAAACCCCGTCTCTACTAAAAATACAAAAAATTAGCTGGGCATGATGGTGCGTGCCTGTAATCCCAGCTACTCAGGAGGCTGAGGCAGGAGAATTGCCTGAACCCAGGAGGCAGAGGTTGCGGTGAGCCGAGATCGCGCCATTGCACTCCAGCCTGGGTAACAAGAGCGAAACTCCGTCTCAAAAAAAAAAAAAGAATGAAACTACGTCTTAAATAAATAAATAATTTCTGCTTAATAATGCCTGGGGGATGAAATACTTTGTATGACAACCTCCCATGACACTAGTTTATCTGTACAACAAACCTGCACAAATACCCAGAATGTAAAAGTTAAAAAAAATTAAAACAATTAAAAATGACTTCTGGCCAGGCGTGCTGGTTCACACTTGTAATCCCAGCATTTTGGGAGGCCAGTGCAGGCGGATTGCTTGAGCTCAGGCGTTCAAGACCAGCCTGGGTGTGGGAAGTAGAAAAGTCCCTTTTTAAAGTTTCCTTTCTTATTAAAGAATAAGTGTGCTAATAACTTTGTTAAGCCCTATCCTATGCAGCTATTAAACATGCCATGTTTACAGGCACTTAGTACATTCTGTGTCCTTATACTTTAATGAAGATATCCATGCTGTTGTTCTCACTTCAGGCATTCTGCTTCTAGTAAAAGAAAAAAAAACCTGTGCTGGACGGGCTCACAGGCATGTCCCAGCTCTCCATTGCTTTCATCTGTTGAGAAAAGTTTTAAGTTGTTAGCCAATCGGGTTTTAGTTTAAATCGTGAGGTCTGACTCCAGCCAATGGAGATCAGACACAGCAGTAAGGACAGCCCCAAATGTGTAAGGGATAAATCTGTGTGTATTTCTTTGTTCTTTGTACTCTCGTGGCAAAATGGCTAGTGAGGGTACACTATTTCCAACACTCTGCAATGTAGTGAAACCCCATGTCTACAAAAAATACAAAAATTAGCTGGGTGTGGTGGCATACACCTGTACTCCCAGCTACTCAGGAGGCTGAGGTGGGAGGATCAGTTGAGCCCTGGAGGTCAAGGCTGCAGTGAGGTATGATTGTGCCACTGCACTCCAGCCTGGGCAACAGAGTGAGACCTTGTCTCCAAAAACAAAGAGAGAGAGAGAGAGAGAAAGGAAATGATTTCTGAGCTCCATTGCTGTTAAGAAGATGGAACCAGGGAATGAGATAAAATCTCCGGCGCAGGGCAGCAGTGGGATCATTTCACCCAGGGAGGGCCAGAAGGAACCCTCAGAGGAGGTAATAGATTAGCAGGGAGGTGACAGCCAGAGAAGTCCTCAAGGAGAAAGTGACAGTCCAGCTGTCGGAGGAGGTGACAGCCAGGGAGAGGAGGAGGGCCCCTGGAAGGAGGCGCCACTGGGACACTGGAGCTGAGGTCTGAAAGCGGCCAGCTTCGCAGGTACCTGCGGGGCGTGTTCCAGAAGAGGGCACGGCAGGTGCAATCGCCCTTCCCTATTAGCTTCCTAGGACTCCGGGCCTGCAGAGAACCTTCTGGCACTGCACGAACGTGGTTGCCGTGTTTTTCCCTTTTTATTCCATCCTCCTCTACCCCTGCCAACTCCCTGGCCCTAATGCCGCTCCTGTGACCTCTCCAGGCGAGTGACCTCGAGTGACCTCGGGGAAGTGGCAATCTATGCCTCAGTTTTCTTATCTGGAAAACGGGCCTTGCTCGCAGGGACTCCCCTTCCTAATTCTGGGCAGTATGCATGCATAGGGCAGGCCCTCAATAAACTCTTGCAGAATAAAGGACCGGCTTGTTCCCAGCGCCTGGCTCATTGCGTGTAAGCCGCTACACCCTAGGGCATAAGCTATTCCCATTTTGCAGACAGGGAAACGGAGTCTGGAGAGGACCGAGGGTCAGCGTCGGGGGCGGGCCTAGGCGTTGGGGGCGGGTCTCAGTGTCGGGGGCGGGGCTAGGCGTTGGGGGCGGGTCTCAGTGTCGGGGGCGGGGCGCAGGGCGCGCACGCCGCGTCTCGGGCCCAGGGGCGCGCACGCCGAGCGGCTGGCTGGGGGCGTGGTCGGGGCGTGACAGGGGCGTGGCCTCACGGGGCCAGGAGGTCTGCAGGGGCCGCAGCTGTCGCGCCAGTAGGAAAAGGAGCGGGTTGAGGCGCAGCCGGATTCCGCCATGGAGCAGCCGAGGAAGGCGGTGGTGGTGACAGGTACGCAGGCCGACAGGGGATGTAGCGGCAGCCGCCGGGGGCAGGGGCGGGGGCGGCTCCGGGAGGGCGGGGCAGGTGCTGGAAGTCCTCCCAGATTTGGAAGGTGTCATCGCCCGCGGGAGCCCCGCGCAGCCCAGGCTTCCTGGAAAGTGGAGGAGAAGGAGCCTCGGGGGTCCCAGGGTCGGGAGTCAGGGCAGTCAGGCGCGGGGGTTGGGGGGGCCGCACAAGTGCCCGGCGTGGCGCAGGCCCTTCTGGCGTCCTTCCCTTCCAGGTGGGGACGGTGACCTTCTTGGCACCTGCCTGTTCTGCTGCCTGGCCCGCGGGCTGGACCGGACCTCTCCTCCCTGCTCTTTCCGAGGTCCGGCCTTTTCCCCCCTCTCCCCCCGCCCCCCCCCCGTCAAACCCCGGCCCCAGGGGACAAAGGCCGATTTGCGAGCAGGAAGTGTCCCGGTGACAAATGAACCTCCCAGTCACTGCTGGCTGCGCCCCGCGCTCGTGTGGGCTGCTCCCCCAAGGCAGGGGCAGGTGGGGGTCCGGGGACCTCAGGCACCCGGGCTCTCCCAGGTGTCCTAGGGACTGTCTTCGGTGGAAAGCTTGTGTGTTTTGTGCCGGGGCTGTTTGTTGGTGAGTCAGGGCCCCCGCTGTCACCGACTCCCCCCCACCCCCAAACCTACTGTTCCCCCTCCCTGAGACTCTGCCTCGGGGCCACGTGGGGCGCCAACTTCCGCTGGGGCCTCAGAGTCGAGGAGTGGGGGGGGGTCAGGGTGGGAAATCCAGCGAAGGTGCACACAGGTGTTTTGTGGCTGTTGAAGGGAGGTTGGGGCTGATGCTGGTTCTCTCCGGGAAGAAGGAAGAAACCAGGCACCCGCTTAACAGGTGTGTGTAACTGGGAGGAGGGTTGCTGCCCCACCCCCTCCAGCCTTCCTTCATCGGGTTATTTATTCCAGCACTTTTTGCGTGAGCTGATTACACCTTCACTGTCTCCATTGTAGAGAAAGGGAAACTAAGGCTCATAGAGGTCATGCACCTTGCACGGGGCTGGGCTGGGACTCAGACTTCGGCTGTACAGGATAGGGTCAGGAGGTCTCCTCCTGAGCCACAGCCCCTACCTGCTATCCCAGGCTACAGTATCTCTGCATAACCTTCATATCCCATGGGATCCCTGGCCCAGATGGATGTAGATTTTAGGCAGTACGACTCCGTGATTAGAGGCTGAAGCCACGGACTCTCCTGAGTCTGGTTTTTTTTTTTTTTTTTTTTTTTTTTTTTGAGACAGGATTCAATCTTGTTACCCAGGCTGGAGTGCAGTGGTCCAATCTTGGCTCACTGCAATCTCTGCCTCCCAGGTTCAAGCAATTCTCCTGCCTCAGCCTCCTAAGTAGCTGGGATTACAGGTGCCTGCCACCACACCCGACTAATTTTTGTATTTTAAGTGGAGACAGGGGTTTCAGCACGTTGGCCAGGCTGGTCTCAAACTCCTAACTTCAATTGATCCTCCCACCTCAGCCTCCCAAAGTCCTGGGATTAAAGGCGTGAGCCATTGTGCCCGGCCCCAGGTCTGGATTTGAATCCCAGCTCTTTCACCTTCTTGCTGTGTGACCTGGGGCAGCTAGCTCCACATCTCTGTGCCTAGTCCCTGCTCTTGGAAACTGGGCCCAGGAAACAGCCTTGCCTGAAAGGGGATGTGGCCGGGCTGAGTCAGATCACTTAGCACACAGCCTTGGGCAACTGTCGTGTTTTGGAAAGGGGGCCTGGAATTTGAGCTTGCAGGGAGGAGGGGGACAAGGTGCTACATAGCCTGGCCTGGGAAGAACCCACAGACGGGTTCCCTGGAGGGCTCATTCCTCATCCGGTGCCAATTCAGGACATTTTGGACAGTGACACAGTAATTGTAGGTTAGGTTGAGCGGAAGAGAGAAAGTAGTGACAGGATCGGGACAGCCTTTTCGGAGGCGGAAGAGACTGCTGGCCCCTGGCTGGGCATGAAGGGCAGGCAGAGGTGACACTGGAAGGGACTCATGGACTTCAGAGCAAACAGGTGCAGGATGGCAGCTCTGACAGGCCTCCAGGTGCTCCCAGAACCAGGCCCCCCGACAGGCCTCCAGGTGCTCCCAGAACCAGGCCCCCCGACAGGCCTCCAGGGGGTCCCAGAACCAGGCCCCCCGACAGGCCTCCAGGGGCTCCCAGAACCAGGCCCCCCAACAGGCCTCCAGGGGCTCCCAGAACCAGGCCCCCCCGACAGGCCTCCAGGGGATCCCAGAACCAGGCCCCCCGACAGGCCTCCAGGTGCTCCCAGAACCAGGCCCCCCGACAGGCCTCCAGGGGCTCCCAGAACTCAGGACTAGGCCCCCGATGTTGTCCCTGGCAGCTGTGCCCCGAAGCTCCTTTCTTGCTTCTCCAGGTGGCAGCAGGGCCAGGCCAGGGGCAGACTGGAAAGGACCACTCAGGTAATATATTGCTTTTCCTGTTTTTTCAGGATTTGGGCCTTTTGGGGAACACACCGTGAATGCCAGTTGGATTGCAGTTCAGGTAACTTAGATCCCGAGTGGGGAGTCAGGCTCGGAGCTGGCACCCACCCCCCAGAGAGTTATGGCACCCAAGAGAGTCTCTTCTTTTTTGTTTTTTATTTTATTTATTTTTTTGCTGAGAAAGTCTCTTAACAAAAAAAAAAATTGTTTTTTGAGACGAAGTCTCACTCTGTCACCCAGGCTGGAGTGCAGTGGCTCAGTCTCATCTCACCGCAATCTCCACCTCCTGGGTTCAAGTGATTCTCTCACCTCAGCCTCCAGAGTGGCTGGGATTACAGGTGTCCACCACCATGCCCAGATAAATTTTGTCATTTTAGTAGAGATGGGGCTTCACCATGTTGGCCAGGCTTGTCTCGAACTCCTGACCTCAAGTGATCTGCCTGCCTCGGCCTCCAAAAGTGCTGGAATTGCAGGTGTGAGCCACTGCGCCCAGCCAGCTCTTACAAAACAATGTCAGATCCACATATCCTCCCGTGTAACCACCGGAGCGTACGTGTGTGGAGCACTTGTTTGCAGCCCAGTGCTCTGAATTCTCCCAACAATCCCTAAGTAATAGGTGCAGTTACTCTTGCGCCCACTTAACAGAAGAGGAAACTGAGGCCTAGAGGAGAAGAAGGGAGTTCTCTGAGGTCATGCAGTCAAGAAGTGGGAGTGGCATTGCTTCAGAAGTTCCTCAGGCCCCGGCCAGAGGCTACAGATGTGGGACTGCAGGGCCAGGTGTGGATAGGAACATAGCTGGTTTCCAGGACACAGCTGTTGATGTGGTGCTGGCTGCTACTTTACGAATTATCCAACTCTAGGATATTTTTTTTTTTCGAGACAGAGTCTCACTCTGTCACCAGGCTGGAGTGCAGTGGCAGGATCTCAGCTCACTGCAACCTCTGCCTCCTGGGTTAAAGCAATTCTCCCTGCCTCAGCCTCCCGAGTAGCTGGGATTACAGGTGCCTGCCACCATGCCTGGCTAATTTTTGTATTTCTAGTAGAGACGGGGTTTCACCGTGTTGGCCAGGCTGGTCTTGAACCCCTGACCTCATGATCCACCTGCTCAGCCTTCCAAAGTGCTGGGATTATAGGTGTGAGCTACCTCACCTGACCAGTATCGCTCTCCTTTTTAAGAAAAATCTTTTCCATCGACTTAGAGTCAAACCGTGACTTAGGTTGGTTTCTGAACAGCCAACGTGAGAATTCTCTGGTATGTTTTAGCAGGTGATTCATGGTTTAGGAAGGACCACGCAGGGATATGTGGGGTGGGGTGGCGTGGCAGGGGGATGTGTCTTGACCTTGTAGGAGGGGATATAGTGAGCCTCCATGTCACCTCCCGGCAGCTGAGGGGAAGAAAAGATGGCATATTAGGGGCCGAGATGGCTGTCGTTCCTGGTGCCCTGAACAAGATGCCAGTCTGCAAAGCCTTTCTAGTTTCTTTGCCAGATGGAGTGTTTTGTAGGGACAGGCTGGGAAGCAATGCACAGAGGGAAAGAGGGAAATGTCTTCTTAAAGACATCAGAACGGCAGAAACCAGAGCCAAACTGTTCATGCTAGCACATTTGCTGCCTCATTGAAAGTAACCTCTGTTCCCACTCCAGAGTCCTAGATTTGAAGAAAAATCTAAGTTGAAACCTCAGCATGGCAGTCCCCAGCTGTACCCACATTTTTAAATCACCCCTTCACTCCCCAACTTCAGACCTCAAGGTTTTGGCTGTTTTCTTTTTTTTTTTCCTTTTCTGCCCACTTTGTGAATGGGACAGAGGGACGGGGTCCCGGGACCCTGTAGATGGGAGCGTGTCCGAGGCCCTGCCTGCTCACCCGCTCCCCGGAGAGCCAGACAAAAAGAAACAGCGTGTTTCTGAGGACTTGTGTGTCAGGCTTTGTGCGGATTTCAGACAGGAGCCTTCACGGGGCTGAGTGGACACAAAGCGGGTGTCTGAATTCCTGGGCCCCAGACACTACCATCTGCATCTAAATAGAAGAAAAATCAATTAAACAATCTTTGGAAATCCCTCTGAGCTTCGGGGCTTCTCAGATAGTGAAGGATGGCAGGTTTTTATCCTGTGGCCCAAGACGAAACAGCCCTGCTCCTCGGTGCTCCTCTTCCCAGACCTGCAAGTTTCCACTTTTTGTGCGTTTTTTTTTTTTTTTTTGAGATGGAGTTTCATTCTTGTTGAGCAGCCTGGAGTGCAGTGGCCTGGTCTCGGCTCACTGCAACCTCCGCCTCCTGGGTTCCAGCGATTCTTCTAACTCAGTCTCCCTGGGAGCTGGGATTACAGGCGCATACCACCATGCCCGGCTAATTTTTGTATTTTTTAGTAGAGACAGGGTTTTGCCATGTTGGCCAGACTGGTCTTGAACTCCTAACCTCAGGTGATCCGCCCACCTTGGCCTCCCAAAGTGCTGGGGCCACCGCGCCTGGCCCCACTTTTCACTTTCCTCCTGCAGTTTAGGGTGCAAGATTCCCCACTATTCCCCTGAGAAAAAGATGCCAATTTTCTCAGATCCAATTGTTTCATTTAAACCAAACAAAGTTTAACATACATACACCCAGGGCACTCATCAGGGAAATTTTAGGCCTGGCGCCATGGCTCACACCTGTAATCCCAGCACTTTGGGAGGCCGAGGTGGGAGGATCACTTGAGGCCAGGAGTTCAACACCAGCCTGACCAACATGGCGAGACCCCCATCTCCATAAAAAAATACAAAAATTAGCTGGGTGTGGTATGCCATGCCTGTAGTTCCAGCTACTTTGGAGGCTGAGGTGGGAGGATCATCTAAGCCTGGAAGGATGAGGCTGCAGTGAGCCCTCCTAGTGTCACTGTACTGCAGCCTGGGGGACAGAGCTAGAGTCTGTCTTAAAAAAAAAAAAAAAAAGAAATTTGGCCGGATGTGGTGGCTCACACCTGTAATCCCAGCACTTCGGGAGGCCAAGGCAGGGGGATTGCTTGAGGTCAGGAGTTCAAGACCAACCTAGCCAACATGACAAAACCCCGTCTGTACTAAAAATAAAAAATTAGCCAGAAATCACTTGAACCCGGGAGGCGGAGGTTGTGGTGAGCTGACATGGTGCCACTGCACTCCAGCCTGGGTGACAAAGAAAGACTCCTGTCTAAAAAAAAAAAGAAAGAAATTTTACATCCGTGCACCCCCAAGGCCAGGTTAAGATCTCGAACATTCCCTGGTTCTTCCTCGAGTTCACAGAAGCCCCACACAGCCTCTTCCCAGGTACTCCCAAGCCCTCCAGATGTGAACCTCTGCAGACTTTTTCACGCCGCTGGGTCAGTTTTGCCTGTTGTGGAAGTTGGTGGGAACAAGTGGCTTCTGGGTCCCCAGCACTGGGAAAGCCGCCCAGGAGTTGCTCTTTCCTTCAGTCTTGTCCTGGATTTGCCTGTTAAAAAGGTATCACTGTTGAATGGGTTGAATCCACTTCTCAAAAAAATGTGCCCTGGGGTGTTCTTGGTGTAATGCAGGCCACTGTGGCCAGGTGTCACCACCCGAAGATGGGTGTTTTGTTCTGCACTCTGGGTGGCAATGGCTTTGTGCCGGGACTGATTTTTCAGAAGCTCCTCCTCCAGGGACCCCTAAGTACTTCTCTGTCTCTCTCTGCATCTCCCTCTGTCCCTGTCCCCTCTTCTCTCTCTCTATCTCTGTTCAGCTCTGTGTCTCTCTTCATCTCTCCCTGTCTCTCTCCTCTGTCACTTTCACATCCCTGTGTGTGTGTCTGTTTTTCTCTCTCTTGTCTCCTTGTCTCTTTCTGCCTCTCTCTTTGGGTTTGTCTGTTCCTTCCCACCTCATCCCTTCTTTCTCTTGAGAGCGCGCTCTCTCTCTCTTTCTCTCTCTCTCTCTCTCTCTCTCTTTCTCTCTCTCTTTCTCTCTCTCTCTCTCTCTCTCTCTCTGTCTCTCTCTGTCTCTCTCTCTCTGTCTCTGTCTCTCGACAGGATCTCACTCTGTTGTCCAGGCTGGAGTTCAGTGGTATGATCTCAGCTCACCTCAGCCTTGGCCTCCCGGGCTTAGGTGATCCTCCCACCTCAGCCTCCCAGTTAACTGGGACTACAGGCATGCGCCACCAGGCCCAGCTAATTTTTTTTTTTTTTTTTTTTTTTTTTTTGAGATGTAGTTTCGCTCTTGTTACCCAGGCTGGAGTGCAATGGCGCGATCTTGGCTCACCGCAACCTCCGCCTCCTGGGTTCAGGCAATTCTCCTGCCTCAGCCTCCTGAGTAGCTGGGATTACAGGCACCCGCCACCATGCCCAGCTAATTTTTTTGTATTTTTTGTAGAGACGGGGTCTCACCATGTTGCCCAGGCTGGTCTCAAACTCCTGGGCTCAAGCCATCCTCCTGTCTCAGCCTCCCAAACTGCTGGGATTGCAGGCGTGAGCCTCTGTGCCCAGGCTTCTCTGTTTCTCTCTGTCTCCCTGTCTCTCTCTCTCTCTGGGTCTCACTATCTCTTCCCCTTTCTTTCTTTGTTTCTCTCTGTCTCCTTGTCTCTTTCTCTTGAATCTGTCTCTTTTTCCTTCTCTTTCTCTCCATTCTGTTTCTGACTCCATCTCTCTGTCTCTCTCTCCTTTTTTTTTTATTTTTATTTTTTTGAGATGAGATGGGGTCTCTCTCTGTCGCCCAGGCTGGAGTACAGTGGTACAATCTTGGTTCACTGCAACCTCTGCTTCAAGGGTTCAGGCAATTCTCCTGCCTCAGCCTCCTGAGTAGCTGGGACTACAGGTGTGCGCCATCACACCCTGCTAATTTTTGTATTTTTAGTAGAGATGGGGTTTTGCCATCAGGCTGGTCTCGAATTCCCGACCTCAGGTGATCCACCCGTCTCGGCCTCCCAAAGTGCTGGGATTACAGGCGTGAGCCACCGTGCCCTGCCTGTCTCTGTCTCTCCAGATCCTCTCTCTTCGTGCCCTGGGTGAAGTCATGCCGCGACATAGACAGGACTGTTTCCCACCTGTAGTGTTCAGGAGGTGGGAGGAGAATTGGGGGTGCAGAGGGGAACCCCCATTTGTCTTTCCTGGGATGGCGGCTGCCCCCAGCACCCCAAGCTGGGGGAACCACATGTCTCGTGTGTCCCATCGCCCCCGCCTCTCAGGGTGGACTGGGGCACTGGCTGTTTCTCTCTCTTCTGAGGAGGCGCAGGCAGGTGTTAAGCTGGGGAGTCCCGGGGCTCGGGGCCATCTGGGGCGTCTCCTCCCGAGCTGGGTGAGGAGGACCCGGGTCACCAAGCTTGGTGACATCATGGGACAATTGCTGCCACAGTGAGTCTAGACAGACCTGCTAAGGATATTACCAGGGAACAAAGAGGGTCTTTGTCGTGGGGTCAGGGGAATCGGTCAGACGCGGCTGCGCAGCGGGGTCCTGTCAGGTAGATGGGGTGTAGACAATGGGGCGTCTGCCCAAGCCCCATCCTTTCACGGTGTATGCTCGGGTGGTGTGCAAGGCCGGCTATGCTCCCAGCAAAGGGATGTGGGACTTGGGGTGCCCTGCCCCCCTTCTCCCGGAGGAGAACCGTCCAGCCCTGTTGGAACAGAACGTGTTCAGAGGCTGAGACTTCAGCCAGATTATCAGCCATGCACTTCCATCTAGTGCCAGATACCCTGTATGGCAGGTGGCTTCCTGCCGTTGCCCTGCTTAAAATTGAGAGATAATTTACATCAAGCAATGTAGACAGAACTTAAGTTTCCCCATAACTTTGGTGAAAAACTTTTTTTGTTTTGAGATGGGGTCTTGCTCTGTTGCCCAGGCTGGAGTGGAGTGGCGCCATCATAGCTCACTGCAGCCTCAACCTCCTGGACTCTAGTGATCCTCCTGCCTCAGCCTCCCAAGTAGCTGGGACTACAGGCATGTGCCACTATGTCTGACTAATTTTTTTTTTCTCTAGATGGAGTCTTGCTCTGTTGCCCAGGCTAGAGTGCAGTGGCATGATCCTGGCTCACTGCAACCTCCGCCTCCTGGGTTCAAGCGATTCTCCTGCCTCAGACTCCTGAGTAACTGGGATTACAGGCATCCACCACCACACCCAGCTAATTGTATTTTTAGTAGAGATGGGGTTTCACTATGTTGGTCAGGCTGATCTTGAACTCCTGACCTTGTGATTTGCCTGCCTCGGTCTTCCAAAGTGCTGGGATTACAGGTGTGAGCCACCGTGCCCAGCCTCCCTGTTGAGTTTTAAAGTAGCACATCTCAGGAGACTCGAGACATTGCCTTGTGCCTCCTAGAGAAAATATGGAAAAGAAGCAGGTCTGTTGATATGGGACTATGGGTTGTTTTATCTTTTGGTTTTGTAAAACATTGACATGGTTCAAAAGTCAAAATCATGTGATGAGATTTTTGCAGAGAAGTCTCCCTCCCCTCCCCTCCCCGCTCCCATTCCTTCCTTGCCTGAAGGTCACTCAGTCTCACCACGGGTCATGCCTGGAAATCCCTCCAGCTTGGCCCAGGCAGAGATTACTCATTCTTTTAAATATTTTAATTCTGTTTTTAATTTTGATGAAATCCAGCTTATCGATTTCTTTCTTTTATTGTCTGTGCTTTTCATATCATTTAGTGTGTATGGGCTTTTTGGTATTTTTTCAAGGTGGGGGTCTCACTATGTTGCCCAGGTTGACCTTGAACTCCTGGCCTCAAGTGGTCTGCCCCAGTAGCTGGGATTACAGGCATGAGCCACTGCACCTGGCTGCTGATTTGTTTGTTGGTTTGCTTGTTTTGAGACAGAGTGAGACTCTGGCTGGAGTGCTGTGGTGTGATCTCGGCTCACTGCAACCTCCGCCTTTCGAGTTCAAGCGATTCTCCTGCCTCAGCCTCCCAAGCAGCTGGGACTACGGGCACATGCCACCACGCCTGGCTAATCTTTTGTGTTTTTAGTAGAGACAGGGTTTTACCATGTTGGCCAGGCCGGTCTCGTACTCCTGACCTCGTGATACACCTGCCTCAGCCTCCTAGGGTGCTGAGATTACAGGCGTGAGCCACCGCACCCGGGCTGTAAACGTTTTTTAAAACTTTACTTTTGTTCTCTCGGCTGCGTGCCTCCAAGATGACAAAAGAAGGAACAAAGGTCGTGCCAAAGAGGGCCACGGCCACATTCAGCCTACTCGCTGCATGAACTGTGCCGGATGTGAGCCCAAGGACAAGGCCATTAAGAAATTCGTTGTTTGGCCAGGTACAGTGGCGCATGCTTGTAATCCCAGTGCTTTGGGAGGCTGAGATGGGAGGATCACAAGGTCAGGAGTTCGAGACCAGCCTGACGAATATGGTGAAACTCCATCTCTACTAAAAATGTAAAAATTAGTACGGGCATGGTGGCTCATGCCTATAATCCCAGCACTTATTGGGAGGCTGAGGCGGGTGGATCACAAGGTCAAGAGATCAAGACCATCCTGGTCAACATGGTGAAACCCCGTCTCTACTAAAAATACAAAAATTGGCTGGGCATGGTGGCGCGTGCCTGTAATCCCAGCTACTCACGAGGCTGAGGCAGGAGAATTGCCTGAACCCAGAAGGCAGAGGTTGCAGTGAGCCGAGATCGCGCCATTGCACTCCAGCCTGGGTAACAAGAGCGAAACTCCATCTCAAAAAAAAAAGTAAAAATTAGCTGGGCATAGTGGCGCACACCTGTAATCCCATCTACTCAGGAGGCTGAGGCAGGAGAATTGCTTGAACCCAGGAGGCGGAGATTGCAGTGAGCTGAGATCGCGCCATTGCACTCCAGCCTGGGCGTCTCAAAAAAAAAAGAACAAAAAACTTAAAACCAAAAAGGCAAAACAAAGAAATTCGTTGCTTGAGACATCATGGAGGCCGCAGCGGTCAGGGACATCTCTGAAGCGAGCGTCTTCAATGCTTCTGTGCTTCCCAAGCTGTATGTGAAGCTATGTAACTGTGTGAGCTGTGCAGTTCACAGCAAAGTAGTCAGGACTCAATCTCGTGAAGCCCGCGAGCACCGAGCACCCCCACCCCGATTCAGACCTGCGAGTGCAGCCGCACGACCCCCTCCACAACCCATGTAAGGAGCCGAGTCCTTAAAAGACTGAAGACAACTATTCTCTGGAGAAAAAATAAAATGGAAATTGTACTTTAAAAAAAAAACAACTTTACTTTTGGCCAGGTGTGGTGGCTCACGCCTATAATCCCAGCACTTTGGGAGGCTGAGGTGGGCAGATCGTGAGATCAGGAGATCGAGACCAGCCTGGCCAACATAGTGAAACCTCATCTCTACTGAAAATACAAAAATTAGCCGGGCATGGTGGTCTCACAGGCTGCAGTGCAGGGGCGCAATCTTGGCTCACTGCATGTAGCGTCCGCCTCCCAGGCTGAAGCCTGGGACACTGTGCCTGGTCAAATGAATCATTTTGAAGTATATAATTAAAAGGACACCATGTTGTGCAACCATCATTTCTATCTAATTCCAGAACATTCTATCACCCGAAAAGGAGATGCTGTCCCCATCAGCAGTCACTCCCCACTCCCCTCCCCCAGCCCCTGGCAGCCACTCATCTGCCTCCTGTCTCCAGGGATCTGCCTGTTGTGGGCATTTCAGATCAGTGGAATTACACACCATGTGGCCTTTCGTGTCTGGCTTCTCTCACTCAGCATCGTGTTTTCAGGCTTCATCCACATCGTAGCGGGGATCGGTGCTTCGTTCCTTTCACGGCTGAATCATAGTCCATCGGGTGGGTGGACATATTTCATTTATCCAGCTGTCGATGGGCATTTGGGCTGTTTCTGCCTTTTGGCTCTTGTGAATACTGGAGAGGGTTTTTTTTTGAGATGGAGTTTCACTCTTTTTGCCCAGGCTGGAGTGCAATGGCACAACCTCAGCTCACCGCAGCCTTTGCACCTGTCTAATTTTTGTATTTTTAGTAGAGACAAGATTTCACCATGTTGGCCAGGCTGGTCTCAGATTCCTGACCTCAGGTGATCCGCCTGCCTCCACCTCCCGAAGTGTTGGGATTACAGGTGTGAGCTACTGCATGTGGCCTGAGACTCTGTTATTCCCATTTTACAGATGAGGAAACTGAGGCTCAGAGAGCTTAAGTGGCTTGCCCAAGGTCACACAGGCAGGATTGAGTCCAAGGAGCCTGGGATTTAACCCCAGGGGTCATAGAGTCATGTCACCTTGATGCAGAGAGACTTCGAGGCAAGTGGGTGGGGAAGGAAATGAGGGACTTTGGGCTAAATCAACACACACCCCTTCCCACTCTGCAGAATGAGTCAGCAGAGCGGCCTGTTTCACCCCCAGGGAGCACATTGTCCCCAGAGCTGTCATCCCGTGCCACGACACCCCCACTCTCCTCTCTTCCAGGAGCTGGAAAAGCTAGGCCTGGGTGACAGTGTGGACCTGCATGTGTACGAGATTCCGGTTGAGTACAAGACAGTCCAGAGACTCATCCCTGCCCTGTGGGAGAAGCACAGTCCGCTGGTGAGTGGTGCTGACGGGCGGCACTTCCTCATCAGGACTTACAGGTTGGCACCATTCATGTGGAGGACTTCCGTGGCTTTGTCCCTGATCAGATCACGTGACCAGTGCCACAGCCTTGTCTTCGAAAGGGCTATTCAGGCTGGGGGTGGTGGCTCACACCTGTACTCCCAGCATTTTGGGAGGTGGGCGGATCACCTGAGCTCAGGAGTTCTCGACCACCCTGGGCAATATGATGAAACCCCATCTCTACTAAAAATACAAAAAATTAGCCAGATATGATGGTGGGTGCCTGTAGTCCCAGCTACTAGGAGGGTGAGGCAGGAGAATCGCTTGAACCCGGGAGGTGGAGGTTGCAGTGCACTCCAGCTCAGGCTACAGAGCGAGACTCTGTCTCAAAAAAAAAAAAAAAAAACCCAAAGGGCTATCCAGGCCAAGGCGTGAGCCACCTATAATCCCAGCACTTTCAGAGGCTGAGGCAAAAGAATTGCTTGAGTCCAGGAATTTGAGACCCGCCTGGGCAGTGCAGTGAGACCCCGTCTCTACGAAAAAATTAAAAAATTAGGCATGATGGTACATGCTTAGAGTCCCAGCTACTTGGAAGGCTGAGGCAGGAGGATTGCTTGAGCCCAGGAGTTTAAGACTGCAGTATAAGATTTTTGTGCCACTGCATTCCAGCCTGGGCAACAGAGCAAGATCCCATCTTTAAAAAAAAAAAAAACAAGGCTGGGTATGGTGGATCACGCCTATAATCCCAGCACTTTGGGATCCTGAGGTGGGTGGATCACCAAAGGTCAGGAGTTTCAGACCAGCCTGGCCAACATGGCAAAACCCCATCTCTACTAAAAATACAAAATTATCCGGGTGTAGTGGCATGCACCTGTAATCCCAATTACTCTGGAGGCTAAGGCAGGAGAATCGCTTGAACCCAGGAGGCGGAGGTTGCAGTGAGCTGTGATTGTGCCATTGCAGTCCAGCCTGGGTGACAGAGCAAGACTCCATTTCAAACAAGTAAACAAACAAAAACACTGCCTTGGCATTTCACAGCTGCATAGTAGCTATTATTTATTGAACTAACTCCCCCTGGATGGCTAGTCAGCTTGTTTCCAGTATTTGATTTCAATAACAAGAAGCGCTGCCATGAACACCCTTGCATGTTTTAAATTCTTGCCTGTCTTACATGGTATACCTTTTTGCAAGAGTGACTGCAGGGTCTATACCAGCAGCAAGAGGTCAGAAACAACACAATCCCAGGCAGAGCCCAGTGAGGATGCTGCCTTTTCCTTGGCCTTAGGAGGACCCCCTCCGAGTCCCATGGGCAGGCCATGTTAAGTCCTGCCTGTCTGTGTGCAGCTGGTGGTGCACGTGGGGGTGTCAGGCATGGCGACCACAGTCACACTGGAGAAATGCGGACACAACAAGGGCTACAAGGGGCTGGACAACTGCCGCTTCTGCCCTGGCTCCCAGTGCTGCGTGGAAGACGGGCCTGAAAGCATTGACTCCATCATCGACATGGACGCTGTGTGCAAGCGAGTCACCACGTTGGGCCTGGATGTGTCGGTGACCATCTCACAGGATGCAGGCAGGTAGGGCCCTGTGGGGTGGGGGTGAGTGGGGATTTCCCTCCTCCACGCACTGACCCAGGTGTAGAACAAGCCAAGTGTGTTGATCTTGGCCTCTCTGGTCCAAGTACTTACTATAAAGGAGGCACAGAGCCAAGTATTTGTACGTAGCGCATGCCGTCGGTTCTGCTCCTGGGACTCATGGATCTGCCTACTTCTCCCCACCATCACAGTCCCCACTGAGGCCCCCAGCATCTCCCACCTGGACACTGCCCCAGCCGCCAGCAGTCTTCCTCCCTGCTGCCTCCACCCCAATCCAAGCAGTCAGTTTCTGTGTTAATTTCCTGGAGCTGCTGTAACAAACACCCACAAACTGGCTTCACATATGGGAAACGTACTGTCTAACAGCCTGGGAAGTCAGAGGTCCGAGGTCAAGGTTGTGGCAGGGCCGGCTCCTTCTGGAGGTGCTGAGGGTGAGTCTGTCCCAGGCCTCTCTCCTGTGGCTGGTGACTGCTGGCATCCTTGGTGGGGGTTTTTTTTTTTTTGTTTTGAGATGGAGTTTTTCTCTTGTTACCCAGGCTGGAGTGCAATGGCGTGATCTCAGCTCACTGCAACCTCCACCTCCTGGGTTCAAGCGATTCTCCTGCCTCAGCCTCCTGAGTATCTGGGATTACAGGCGCGTGCCACCATGCCCAGCTAATTTTGTATTTTTAGTAGAGATGGGGTTTCTCCGTGTTGGCCAGGCTGGTCTGGAACTCCCGATCTCAGGTGATCTGCCCGTCTTAGCCTCCCAAAGTGCTGGGATTACAGGCATGAGCCACTACACCTGGCCCAAATAAAGTCACGTTCTGAGGTCTCAGGTGAACATGAATTTTGAGGGCAGATGATTCAACCTACTACAAAAGGTCTTCTATAAATTTAAATCAGGGCCAGGTGCAGTGGCTCATGCCTATAATCCCAGCATTTTGGGAGGCCAAGGCAGGAGGATTACTTGAACCCAGGAGTTCGAGACCAGCCTGGGCAATATAACGAGACCCCCATCTCAACAACAAATTTAAAAATGGCAGGCTGGGGCGGGAGGATTGCTTGAGCCGGGAGTTTGAGGGTGCAGTAAGCTGTGATGGCAACACCGTACTCCAGCCTGGGCGACAGCGAGACCCTGTTGACTCTAAATAAATAAATGCACATGTCCCTTTCCTAGACCTTCGCTGTGGCTCCCACTGCAAGTGGGGTAAGATCCCAACCCTGGCCTTTGACCTTCCTCTCCGCCCCCCTCTGCCTCTACTCACTCTGCGTCCACTGCACTGCAGACACACAAACCAGCCTCCTGCTGCTCCTCAAACCACCGAGCTCAGGGTCTTTGCATGCCCTCTGGCCTCTGCCCAAAACGCCTTCCTCTGAGAACTCCTCTTTCCAGGCTTTTTCTTCTTTCTCTGTCACCCAGGCTGGAGTGCAGTGGCCCGATCTTGGCTCACTGAAACCTCTGCTTCCACGTTCAAGGGATTCTCCTGCCTCAGCCTCACAAGTAGCTGGGATTACAGGTGTGCGCCACCATGCCCGGCTAATTCTTGTGTTTTTAGTAGAGATGGGGTGTTCTTGAACGCCCAACCTCAAGTGATCCACCCGCCTCGGTCCCCCAAAGTTCTGGGATTACAGGCGTGAGCCACCGTGCCCGGCCCTCTTTTCCAGTCTCGACTCCAACATCAGTCACCTCCTTGTGACTTTTAGGCCTCCCCCACTCCCCAGACGAAGTTATGTGCCCCCAGCACCGGCTTCCTCACGTCTCCCTAATCTGTGCACTTGTCCAACTGAAAGGTGGCTACTGATCAATGCAGGTGATTGGCTGATGGAAGGAGTGCCTGGATTTATGGATAGGATTTTTGTTTTTGGAGACAGGGTCTTGCTCTGTTGCCCAGGCTGGAGTGCGGTGGCATAATCATGGCTCACTGTAGCCTCAACCTCCTGGGCTTAAGTGATCCCCCCACCTCAGCCTCCCAAGTAGCTGGAACTACAAGTGCACACCACCACATCCAGCTATTTTTATATATATATATTTTTTGAAATGGAGTCTCGTTCTATCGCCCAGGCTGGAGTGCAGTGGCACGATCTTCACCTCCTGGGTTCAAGCAATTCGCCTGCCTCAGCCTCCTGAGTAGCTGGGATTACAGGCACGTGCCACCATGCCCAGCTACTTTTTTGTATTTTTAGTAGAGATGGGATTTCACTGTGTTAGTGAGGATGGTCTCGATCTCCTGACATTGTGATCTGCCCACCTTGGCCTCCCAACATGCAGGATTACAGATGTGAGTCACTGCACCCAGCCCAATTTTTGTATTTTTTTTGTAGAGACAGAATCTCCCTACGTTACCCACACAGGTCTTGAATTCCTGGGCTCAAGCAATCCTCCTGCCTCGGCCTCCCAAAGTGCTGGGATTATAGGCAAAAGCCACCACTTGCCACTGAGTGCTTTTTAAAACTAACTTTTTTCTATTTTTTAATTGAAAAATAATTTTTACTGTGTCTATTATTTATTTGTTTGCTTGTTTGTTTAAGACAGGATCTCGTTCCGTAGCCCAGGCTAGAGTGCAGTGGCAAAATCACAGCTCACTGCAGCCTTGACCTTTTCTGCCCAGGTGATCTTCCCACCTCAGCCTCCCAGGTAGCACAACCAAACCCAGCTAACTTTTTTATTTTGTTGAGACAGAGTTTCGCTCTGTTGCCCAGGCTGGAGCAAGGCTGGAGTGCAGTGGCGCAATCTCGGCTCGCTGCAACCTCTGCCTCCTGGGTTCAAGCAATTCTCCTGCCCCGGCATCCCGAGTAGCTGGGATTATAGGTGTCCGCCACCACACCCAGCTAATTTTTGTATTTTTAGTAGAGATAGGGTTTCATCATGTTGGCCACGCTGGTCTCAGATTCCTGACCTCAGGTGGTCTGCCTGCCTCAATGTCCCAAAATGCTGGGATTACAGGCATGAGCCACCATGCCCAGCCTAATTTTTAAATTTTCATTGCATTTTAGGTTTGGGGGTACCTGTGAAGAACATGCAAGATAGTTGCATAGGTACACACGTGGCAGTGTGATTTGCTGCCTTCCTCCCCATCACCTATATCTGGCATTTCTCCCCATGCTATCTCTCCCCAACTCCCCACCCCCCACTGTCACTCCCCTATTTCCCCCAACAGACCCCAGTGTGTGATGCTCCCCTCCCTGTGTCCATGTGTTCTCATTGTGCAACACCCGCCTATGAGTGAGAACATGCGGCGTTTGATTTTCTGTTCTTGTGTCAGTTTGCTGAGAATGATGGTTTCCAGGTTCATCCATGTCCCTACAAAGGACTTGAACTCATCATTTTTTATGGCTGCATAATATTCCATGGTGTATATGTGCCACATTTTCCCTGTCCAGTCTATCATCGATGGGCGTTTGGGTTGGTTCCAGGTCTTTGCTATTGTAAACAGTGCTGCAATGAACATTCGTGTGCATGTGTCCTTATAGTAGAACGATTTATAATCCTTTGGGTATATACCCAGTAATGGGATTGCTGGGTCAAATGGAATTTCTATTTCTAGGTCCTTGAGGAATCGCCACACTGTCTTCCACAATGGTTGAACTAATTTACACTCCCACCAGCAGTGTGAAAGTGTTCCTATTTCTCCACATCCTCTCCAGCATCTGTTGTCTCCAGATTTTTTAATGATCGCCATTCTAACTGGCGTGAGATGGTATCTCAATGTAGTTTTGATTTGCATTTCTCTAATGACCAGTGATGATGAGCATTTTTCATATGTTTGTTGGCCTCATGTATGTCATCTTTTGTAAAGTGTCTGTTCATTTCCTTCACTCACTTTTGAACGGGCTCATTTGTTTTTTTCTTGTAAATCTGTTTTAGTTCTTTGTAGATTCTGGATATCAGCCCTTTGTCAGATGGGTAGATTGCAAAATTTTTTTCCCCATTCTGTTGGTTGCTGATTCACTCTAATGACTGTTTCTTTTGCCATGCAGAAGCTGTGGAGTTTGATTAGGTCCCATTTGTCTATTGGCTTTTGTTGCCAATACTTTTGGTGTTTTGGTCATGAAGTCCTTGCCTACTCCTATGTCCTGGATGGTTTTGCCTAGATTTCCTTCTAGGGTTTTTATCGTGCCAGGTCTTAATGCTTAAGTCTTTAATCCATCTGGAGTTAATTTTAGTGTAAGGTGTCAGGAAGGGGTCCAGTTTCTGCTTTCTGCGCATGGCTAGCCAGTTTTCCCAACACCATTTATTAAACAGGGAATTCTTTCCCCATTGCTTGTTTTTGTCAGATTTGTCAAAGATCAGGTGGTTGTAGATGTGTGGTTTTGCCTCTGAGGCCTCTGTTCTGTTCCATTGGTCTAGGTCTCTGTTTTGGTACCAGTACCATGCTGTTTTGATTACTGTAGCTTTGTAATATAGTTTGAAGTCTGGTAGTGTGATGCCTCCCGCTTTGTTCTTTTTGCTTAGAATTGACTTGGCTATGCGGGCTCTCTTTTGGTTCCATATGAAGTTTAAGGTGTTTTTTTCCAGTTCTGTGAAGAAGGTCATTGGTAGCTTGATGGGGATAGCATTGAATCTGTAAATAACTTTGGGCAGTATGGCCATTTTCACGACATTGATTCTTCCTAACCATGAACATGGAATGTTTCTCCATCTGTTTGTGTCCCCTCTTATTTCATTGAGCAGTGGTTTGTACGTTCCTTGTTAGTTGTATTCCTAGGTATTTTATTATCTGTAGCAATTGTGAATGGCAGTTCGTTCTTGATTTGGCTCTCTTTAAATCTGTTGTCAGTGTATAGGAATGCCTGTGATTTTTCCACATTGATTTTGTATCCTGAGACTTTGCTGAAGTTGCTTATCAGTTTCAGGAGATTTTGGGGTAAATTTTTTTTTTTTTTAACTGCATCTAGCTTTGTCACCCAGGCTGCAGTGGAGTGGCTCGATCTTGGCTCACTGCAACCTCTGCCTCCTGGGTTCAAGCGATTCTCCTGCCTCAGCCTCCTGAGTAGCTGGGATTACAGGCACCCACCACCATGTCCAGCTAATTTTTGTATTTTTAGGAGAGACGGGGTTTCACCTTGTTGGCCAGGCTGGTGTCAAACTCCTCAGCTCAAGTGATACACCCACCTTGGCCTCCCAAGTTGCTAGAATTATAGGCATGTAATTCCACACCCGGCCCAACTTTTTTTGTAGTTTTGATAGAGACAAGGTGTTGCCATGTTGCCCAGGCTGGTATCAAACTCCTGGACTCAAGGAATACTCCCACCTCAGCCTCCTAAAGTGCTGGGACTACAGGTGTGAGCCATCACACCCAGCTTCCATCAGTCTCTTTATAAAATTAAGTTTTAGGCTGGGTGCGGTGGCTCACACCTGTAATCCCAGCACTTTGGAGGCTGAGATGGGCAGATCACCTGAGGTCGGAAGTTCAAGTCTAGCCTGACCAACACAGAGAATCCCCGTCTCTACTAAAAATACAAGAAATTAGCTAAGTATGGTGGTGTGTGCATATAATCCCAGCTACTCAGGGAGGCCGAGGCAGGAGAATCCCTTGAACCTGGGAGGTGGAGGTTTCAGTGAGCCGAGATTGCACCATTGCACTCCAGCCTGGGCAATGAGAGCGAAACTCCATCTCAAAACAAAAAATTAATTTTTAATCACAGGTAATTCTAGAACAGACCCTCCTGTGTCTGAGAACATTTTTCATTCCCTCTCTTTTCCCATGGTGGTCCCTCTGTTAAGTCAGACATGAAACTGACACGTTTCTGTATGTACATATGTCACTTGGTGTGCTGGATTATGGTTTTGTCTTATTTTGCTTTGCTTTTACATGAATGGAGTCACACGGTGAAAGTCACACTTTACTGACGATTATCCTCCTCAGTTTTCACTTGTGAGCATTTGACATGCATCTGGCAAGTTCTCCATTTTTCTCTGGCCGTACTGCATTTCTTGTAAATGGCTTCATAGGATTCCACCGCGGTGTGGGTAAAGCAGTTTACTAAGCCACGCCCCGTCAGTGGGCTTTAGGTTGCTTTCTGTTTTCCTGCTTTTATACATAATACGGTGGGGAGCAGCTCCGTTTGTACTTTCTTGTAGCCTTATGCAGAGGGTTCCTGAGGGTACATCTAAAAACTGGAAATAGGCCAGGTGCAGTGGCTCACGCCTGTAGTCCCAGCACTTTGTGAGGTCGAGCTGGGCAGATCACTCAAAGTCAAGAGTTCCAGACCAGCCTGACCAACGTGGTGAAACCCCATCTCTACTAAAAATACAAAAAAATTAGCTGGGCACGGTGGCGCGTGCCTGTAATCCCAGCTACTCAGGAGGCTGAGGCAGGAGAATTGCCTGAACCCAGGAGGCGGAGGTTGCGGTGAGCTGAGATCGCACCATTGCACTCCAGCCTGGGTGACAAGAGCAAAACTCCGTCTCAAAAAAAAAAAAAGACAGCCTCTCGCCCAGGCTGAGTGCAGTGGTGCAATCATGGCTCACTGCAGCCTCCATCTCCTGGGCTCAAGCAATCCTCCCGCCTCAGCCTCCTGAGCATCTGGGACTACCGGCACAAACCACCACCCCTGGTGATTTTTTTCATCTTTGCCAACCTGGGAAGGGAGGAGAGCATTATTCCATCTTGTGGGTTACTGGTGAGGCTGGGTCTTTCCTGGGTTCGGATGGGGCTGTCACCTTGGTCTGTGGATTGCCCCTCTGACCCCATTTGGTCTCTTTCTCACCCGCCACACCCTGCGGCTTAGATATCTCTGCGACTTTACCTACTACACCTCTCTGTACCAGAGCCACGGTCGATCAGCCTTCGTCCATGTGCCCCCGCTGGGGAAGCCGTACAACGCCGACCAACTGGGCAGGGCGCTGAGAGCCATCATCGAGGAGATGCTGGACCTTCTGGAGCAGTCAGAGGGCAGCATCAGCTACTGCCACAAACACTGAGGGACGCTCAGGTCTCCTAAGACCTCCTGCTGGGGACCCCACAAGGGGACGTCCACCCTCTGGGGCGTGGCCAGGAGGAAACAAACTCCTCAGCTTGGGGATCCGATCTGGAAGAGATTCTAATGTGCCCACCTCCTCTTCCTCCTTCTCTACAAAAGCTCCGGTCGATTTGAGGGAAGCAGCTGAAGATTTTTTTTTCTCCATTTTCCTCCCTGCGTCTGGAGACACAGCTGCCTTGGCCAGGGAGGCCAGCCTGGGGGGTCCAGATGCCCAGAGAGGATCTCCGCTGGATCCACGTGCTGTGATCCCATGGCCAGGCCACGAGTTCTCACCTGCTTTCCTGTCCATTGGCGAAGGAATTTCAGAATTCATTTTACACACATGACTGGCTTTTCCGAAATTTAAAAGCCTCTTGAAGAGTACTTGACCTTGAACTGTGCTCAACAGCCTGGCCCTTTCTGGGGCCACCTTGGAAAATAGTGTATTTTTTTTCTTTTTTTCTTCTCTCTCTCTCTTTTTTTTTTTTTAACGATAGTGCTAGTTTGGGCACAGAGTAACTTATATTCCCTTTGGTTAAAATGCAGGCTTTTTAGCCAACAACAGGTCTTTCCCCCACCCCCAGGGTGAGGCCACTTTTCCCTCCTGCCCTGAAAATTGGACTTAAAATGCCATGTTGGCCAGGCACAATGGCTCATGCCTGTAATCCCAGCACTTTGGGAGGCCGAGGTGGGCGGATCACTTGAGGTCAGGAGTTCAAGACCCACCTGGCTAGCACAGTGAAACCCCATCTCCACTAAAAATACAGAGTAGCCGGGCATGGTGGCTCGTGTCTGTAATCCCAGCTACTCAGGAGGCTGAGGCTTGAGAATCGCTTGAACCCACGAGGCAGAGGAGCAGTGAGCTGAGATCACACCGCTGCACTCCAGCCTGGGCCACAGAGCGAGACTCCATCTCAGAAAAACAACTGGACTTAAGATGCCCTATGTTTGTTTTAGGGACAAAAATGAGGGCTCCTTGGTTAAGGCGTGGGGTCCGTGGCCAGGCAACCGGTGGGACTGTGGCCCCAGGTGTGGCCACAAGAGGGCGTGGTCCTTTCCACACCGAGCTGTGAGCTGTTGCATAGAGACTGGGCCACCGGTGGGAAGGCGGATTTTGTCTGCTTTTGACTTTTCTTTTTTAATATGTAAAACTCCAGGCCGGGCACGGTGGCTCACGCCTGTAATCCCAGCACTTTGGGAGGCCGAGGCAGGTGGATCACGAGGTCAAGAGATCGAGACCATCCTGATCAACCTGGTGAAACCCCGTCTCTACTAAAAATACAAAAAATTAGCTGGCACAGTGGCGCGTGCCTGTAATCCCAGCTACTCAGGAGGCTGAGGCAGGAGAATTGCCTGAACCCAGGAGGCGGAGGTTGCGGTGAGCCGAGATCGTGCCATTGCACTCCAGCCTGGGTAACAAGAGCGAAACTCCGTCTCAAAAAAAAGAAAAGAAAACTCCACAGCAGCAGAAAACCCACCATCTGGCCTGGAGCTTCAAGATCTTGGTGCCACGACGAGTTTATTATTCTCCTTAGCGGGGATGGGAGGGGGGGACTCAAAACGGAGGCGTGGGAGCTGGAGTCTGCAGAGTTTGGCATGTCCCAGCATGTCTGAGCAAGAGGAATTCCGGGCGGCTGGGGTTTTTATGTAGCTTGGTTTTGGACACTCGCCCAGGAGTCAGGAGTCAATTCTCTCACTTCCTGGTAACCTTGAACTTACCAGGCAGGGAGGACGGTCACGTTCCCCAGGGGATCTAACTTCAGCCAGATCTTGACACCCATCAGAGAGAGAGGGTGACCCCCACAGTGAAACTGATTGAGTGAAATGCACGCTCTGGAAGTCACTTTCTATTTTGGCGGGGGAAATGTGGCTGTACTGTTTTCCTGAGTGTGGCACAGAGGAATCTGATCTTGCTTTCCTACCATTGAGGTTGATTTTTTTTTTTTTTTTTTTTTCTCTGTGATAGGGTCTTACTCTGTTGACCAGGCTGGAGTACAGTGGTGTGATCACAGCTCACTGCAGCCTCAGCCTCCCAGGTTCAAGTGATCCTCCCATCTCAGCCTCCTGAGCAGCCGAGACCACAGGCATGCACCACCACACCTGTAATTTTTCAGTTTTTCCAACAGGGCTTCACCATGTTGCCCAAGCTGGTCTCGAACTCCTGGACTCAAAGCGATCCTCCCTTCCTGGCCTCCCAAAGTGCTGGGATGACAGGCGTGAGCCACAGCTGCAAGTTCTGTTTTGTTTTCTTCAGCGTTCACCTTCCTTGTCTAGTTCAGATGCTGGCTGTGGTTCCTGCCTCTGCTGCTCTTTTATAGCGTTTGGGAACTGGGTTGATGGATTTCTGTGAAACACGTTTTCCAAGTGCTGGGCTTTCTCTGGAGGGGTATGTGGATGCTGGCAGGTGCCTTGCCATGGGCACCTGGCGTCGGGTGTGGACAGTGGCCTGCAGGTGGAACTGAGTAGGGACTCTTGTTCCCACCATGCCAGCCTTATTTTCACTGGAAATGCCCCCTCCACGTCCCTGGTAGCTCTCTATCCTGAGAAATCTGGAGTGTGACAGACATTGCTGCCTCTGTCCCCCCAGCATCTGTGAAGGGAAGTTCAGGACCAGCCTGGGCAATGCAGCAAGAGACCCCACATCTACCAAAACATACAAAACTTAGCCAGATGTGGTGGTGCCTGTGGTCCCAGATACCTGGGAGGCTGAGACAGAAGGATCATGTGGCCTCTTTTGGAAGTGGGAAAAACTCAAGACTCAGGGATCCCCCAGAGGTCTCTTGGGAGAATAACTTCAGGCTTCCTCTTGCTCTGTTCCTCAAAGGTCTGGTCTGCGGGCCTCTGAAGAGAAAACGGGTCTAGCCAAGATGGGAGCAAAATGGGGAGAGGGGGGTGTGCCAGGCCTGAACTGAGCTAAGCGCCTGCCCCGGCTCCACACTTATCTTTCTTTTGTCTTCATTTCACCTCTGTGTTTAAAGCACTGTGTGACTTAGCTCCTTAGAGATATAATTTACTGTCTGCTCATTGTCGAGTGTGTGTGTGTCATCTTCACGTTCTTGCAGCGGTTTAACATTTTCTCGTCAAGGCAGTATCTCATCCTTCCCCATCATGCACAGCATTTGGCTCATTTTAATTTTCTCATTGTTAATTTTTTGTTTTGTTTTATAGAGATGGGGTTTCACCATGTTGGTCAGGCTGGTCTTGAACTTCAGACCTCAGGTGATCTGCCCGCCTTGGCCTCCAAAGTGCTTGGATTACAGGCATGAGCCACCATGCCCAGCCTAATTTTTTTTGAGACAGAATCTCGCACTGTCACCCAGGCTGGAGTGCAGTTGTGTGATCTCTGCTCACTGCAACCTCTGCCTCACAGGTTCACACAGTTCTGCCTCAGCCTCCTGAGTAGGTGGCATTACAGGTGCCACCACACCTGGCTAATTTTTTGTATTTCTAGTAGAGACAGGGTTTCACTATGTTGGCCAGTCTGGTCTCAAACTCCTGACCTGGTGATCTGCTCACCTCAGACTCCCGAAGTGCTGGGATTACAGGCACGTGCCACCACACCTGGCTGAGTTTTTTAATAATTTTTTTTTTTTTTAGTGGAACTCATCTATGCACTCTATGATGTGTTTTTCCACCTTTGTGGGATCTCATCTTAAAATATCCTCATGTGGGCTAGGCGTGGTTCCTCACACCTGTAATCCTAGCACTTTGAGAGATTGAGGCAGGAGGATCCCTTGAGCCCAGGAGTTCAAGACCAGCCTGGGCAATACAGCGAGAGACCCCATATCTACAAAAACATACAAAAAATTAGCCAGATGTGGCGGTGCATGCCTGTGGTCCCAGATACTCAGGAGCCTGAGGCAGGAGGATCACCTGTACCTGGGAGGTTGAAGCTTCAGTGGTGAGCCATGATCACACCAGTGTACTCCAGCCTGGGCGACAGAGCAAGACCCTGTCTTTAAAAAAAAAAAAAAAGCCGGGCGCGGAGGCTCATGCCTGTAATCCCAGCACTTTGGGAGGCCAAGGCCAGTGGATCATGAGGTCAAGAGATGGAGACCATTCTGGCCAACACAGTGAAACCCGTCTCTACTAAAAATACAAAAGTTAGCTGGGTGTGGTGGCATGCACCTGTAATCCCAGCTACTTGGGAGGCTGAGGCAGGAGAATTGCTTGAACCCTGGAGGTAGAGGCTGCCGTGAGCCAAGATTGCACCAGTGCACTCCAGCTTGGTGACAAGAGCAAGACTCCGTATCCAAAAAAAAGTCCTCATGCAAGAAGGTAGGGACCAAATCCCATTTCCTCTCCCCTGTCATTTTCAGAGCCTCGGGTGGGGGCTGCAGGTGGCACAGAAAAGGTCTGCAGAGTGAGTGGGACTTGGCAGGTGTTGGGGAGTGGAATGGACGTGGCGAGTGTCAGTGGTGGAAGGAGGGGCTGAGGGGTGTGATGGGAAGGCTGGGGGGAAGGGTGAGAAGTGATTGTGGGGCTTCCCTGATGAGCCCTCATGGAGGGTGCTGAGGTGGGGGCGGGGGCGCAGGGACAGTGATCGGGAGCAGCTTGATGATGGCATCTCTTAAGATGCCCAACACTACGGACTTTTATTCCTTTATTAGACCCCTAGTACCCCGCCCCCATCCCAAAGAAGGTCAGTGGCATGTATGTGGAGACGTAGCTTGAAAAATAAGGTGGAGTGTAAAGGAAAGAAAAGCAGCAGCAGGAATTCAAGGTGGATGGGCTGAGCTTGGGGCCCATCTGCTCCAATCAAGGGCTGGAGCAAGCCTAAGGCCACTTGGAAAGGCTGGGCAGCGGCAGCGGCAGGGGCAGGGGCAGGGGTGGGGGCCGGAATCACAGCTTCCCCTTCAGAGCCAGATCTTTGGAGGAGATGTTCCGGATGGCAGTAGCTTCTCGGTAAGGAAGGATACCCAGGAGACGGTTCTGTCTGCAATCCCAGCGCTTTCGGAGGCTGAGGTGGGAGGATCGCTTGAACCCAGGAGTTCAAGACCAGCCCTGGGCAACAAGGCGAGACCCCCATCTCTACAGAAATTTTAAAAAAAAAGTAGCCAGGTGTGGTGTTGAGCACCTGCAGTCCCAGCTACTTGGGAGGCTGATTTGGGAGGCTCCTCCGAGCCCGGGAGGTGGAGGCTGCAGTGAGGTGTGATTGCACCATCCTGGGCAACAGAGCAAGACCCTGTCTCAAAATGAAGAGAGAGAAAAAAAAAAGGGTCCGGCTCAGTGGCTTGTGCCTGTTATCCCAGCACTTTGGGAGGCCAAGACAGGCTGATCACTTGAGGCCAGGAGTTTGAGACCAGCCTGGCCAACATGGCAAAACTCCGTCTCTACTAAAAATACAAAAGCTAACCAGGAGTGGTGGTGCACACCTGTAATCCCAGCTACTCCGGAGGCTGAGGCAGGAGAATCACTTGAACTTGGGAGGCAGAGGTTGCGGTGAGCTGAGATCACGCTGCTGCGCTCCAGCCTGGGGCCACGTAGCAAGACGCCATCTCAGAAAAGAAAAAGGGAATTCCCCTCTCTGCTCTTCTGCTCATTGCTGGCATAGAAACATCTAGAACAGAAAGTATTCACACTGGGGCAGAAGGGAGAGCTGGAAGAGCAGATCCAAGATGCCTTTTAGTTTTGGACCTTTGTGCCGGAAGCGAGACCAGCTGGTGTGTTTACACCCGCACGCCCGTGCCCAGGGCAGGTGACCAGGTGGAGGGTGGCAGCTCATGGAAATCTGCCCCTCACAGCAGCCCCCCTTTTGGCTGCCACCGTCTAGACTGTTGGCCTTTGACCTCCCCGCTTTTTGTAGCGTCTGAACCTAGAAGTGCCCCTTGGAAAGAGCCGGACAAAGCCCTATTCTCCGTGGCCCCAGTGTCTAATCCGAGGCGTCTGGGAGCGGCGTGATCCTGCAGGGGGCATGGGGTGCTGATGATGGTCGAGGAGGCAGATTCTTTGCCAGGTTGCCCCAAGCGGCCGCACGTCCTCAGCATCCTGACTTGAGGCCTTTGTTTTAATGACCTGGATTAAATTTCCCTTCCCTGGGCACAAGTGCCTCATAAGGGCCCGGGGCTGCTGGCTGAGAGGAAAAGCATCCCTGTTTTTGGAGTGAGGAGGAAGGCTGAGGGCTGGGGTTCCACTTAGACCCTCAGCAGAATGGCTGCTGGAGGGGCAGGCGATGCCCAGCACCCACGTCTGGAAAGCTAATTCCCGGGTGGACACTAAACATACCCGCTGAGAGACTGTCACCTGGTTTCCAGGACAGTTGTCACCAGCGGAGTGGCAGGGGACTCCCAGGCCTTGAGGGACCTAGTCCCGCCTCAAACTGCTCCCCCTCCCCCATATTCCCTTTCTCTGCCTCCTCTGTCTCCCCCCAGTTACCCACAGAAGTGCCTGCCTCTCCAGGGCTCACAGACAACACAAAAAGGGGACAGGAATGGGTCACTGGGCGGTGGCTGTGTCTCCTCACTACCCAGACCATCGTCTCACAAAGGCCATTCACAGAGGTGGGGGCTGGGGGGGCTTTTGTGTCCTGACACTTTGTCTCAAGGAAATCCCACAGAGGGATTTGAATTAGGCTTTCTGCTCGCCAAGGACTGTGGCATCGGAGCCTGGCTGAGAGCCTGCAACCCGCCCCCCACCCCCCCGCCCTGCCCCCTGCATTTGGAAGCCAAGTTCACTCTGTCTGCCCAGGGAAGCACCAGCTTGTTTCTGGAGGCTCCTCCGACAGCTCAGGTTTTTATCTTGTCTTAAACTTCCCTCTAGGAAAAAACCCTTCCCTGCCAAAGGCGACTGTGTGTTCTGTCCCCAGAGAAGGGCCCGGTCCCTCCAGCCTCAGTGTGGCTTCTCCCTGACCCCTTACCTGCCCCTTCCTGGAACTTTTGCCAGTGCCTTGTCTGAAACTCCTGTGTCCCAGACCCCCCAGGCAGAGAAGGATCTGCCAGACTCTGCCTGGGGCTGGGCTCTAGGAGACCCCAAATTTGACACCACAGAAAGCAAATAAAACAGTTGAAATATACATACATTTCCTGTGTGTCCTTGTGTGAGACTGGGGTTCACCCAGGTGCCCGGGGGCAGAGGGGACTCTCACTAGGTTTCCATCCTTGGTGGTGCTGGCTCAGGGCAGCTAGCAACTGTGTGCTGAGTGAGTGATGAGGGGATTCTGCCTCGACTGGTCTTCCTCAGAATCGGGGGCCTGGCTTGGCTTGGTGGCTCACACCTGGAATCCCAGCACTTTGGGAGGCCAAGGTGAGTGGATCACCTGAGCTCAGGTGTTCAAGACCAGCCTGGCCAACATGGTGAAACCCCGTCTCTACTAAAAATACACAAATTAGCAGGACCTGGTGGCAGGCGCCTGTAACCTGCTACTCAGGATGCTGAGGCAGGAGAATCACTTGAACCCGGGAGGCGGAGGTTGCCGTGAGCTGAGATTGCACCACTGCACTCCAGCCTGGGTAACAGAGCAAGACTCAGTCTCAGAAAAATCAAAAACAAAATCCCCGTCACCCTGACGGGATGCCGTGCCATTCCACCTTTACAGACAGGGTAACTGAGTCTCTGCCAGTTGAAGCCCCTTGTCCCCTGTGTCACAGCCAGGGAGAGAAGTGGTGGGAATGTGAACTCAGGCCGGCCTCTCTGGAGTGGAGCACACTGAAGACCACGACCGTGACATGTTCATCCCCTACGTCCATCCTCGGCAGGAACGAAGACTTCTCTGGCTTTCTGAGAATAAACCTTTGACACCAAAGGGACTTGGACAAGAAGGAAGATATCCTGGGGCAAGTGGATCTCGTGGATTGGGGGAACTTCCTTGGAGTCACCGAGGACTGACGGTTCTTGCAGCCCCCAGTGGAGGTATTCATGGCTGGGTGTTCTTTTCATAGGGTCCACTCTTTTATTATTAGTATTATTATTAAATGTAGAGACAGGTCTTGCCATATTGCCCAGGCTGGTCTCAAACTCCTGGGCTCAAGCTCTCTGCCTGCCTCGGTCTCCCAAAGCTCTGGAATTCCAGGCATGAGCCATGGCGCCTGGCTGTTTGCTGTCTTGAGCCTTAGTTTACCCATTCCTCATGGGGCTTTGTGGGAATTCAATGAGACTGTGCTTTCACAGCCCTCAGCTTGAAGCCACCTGGTGCCCTGTCACTGCTCAACAAATACAATGATCAGCCTGGTGTGGGCTCATGCCTAGAATCCCAGCACTTTGGGAGGCCGAGGCAGGCGGATCACCTGAGGTCGGGAGTTTGAGACTAGCTTGACCCACATGGAGAAACCTCGTCTCTACTAAAAATACAAAATTAGCTGGGCGTGGTGGTGCATGCCTGTAGTCCCAGCTACTCGGGAGGCTGAGGCAGGAGAATCGCTTGAACCCAGGAGGCCAAGGTTGCAGTGAGACGAGATCGCACCACTGCACTCCAGCCTGGGTAACAAGAGTGAAACTGTCTCAAAAAAAACTAAAACAACAAAAACAACAAAAATGAGGTTTGGGGAAGATGCTTCCGTGATCTTGAGACAATCATTGCAGGAGGGAACGTGCAACAGCCCCGGGTAGGGGCGAGGGGGGCAAAGTCCGGCACCAGAAATCACCACGAGTTCCTTCCCTCGCCGTCTTCCACCTCCCTGCCCTCTCTTTCGGGTTCTGGCTCCCTGCCTCCAAGTAATCGCCGGTTTTTACAAGGAGTGACTCAGAGCTACCCGGACATGTCCAGGTCCCCCAGAAGCAGGGATAGGTGGGTCGGGCTGTCGCCTCTCCCTTCCCTGTAGGTGCTGATAAGGGCGTGGGGAGGCAGAGACAGAGACAGAGATGATGAGAGACAGGCAGAATTGGACAGAGAGCCAGAGAGAGAGAGACACAGAGAGAAAGGGGAAACTTCAGATACTTTGTTTAGGGTGAAGACACGGAGACACAGAGAAGGCCGTAGTGGGCCGAGGATGAGGATTTGGGATGTTGGGGCACTCAGGTGCTGTGTAACTCAGGCACGGAGCTGCCCTGTTCTGAGCCTCAGTTTACCCCTGTGTCACAGCGCAGACCTCCATTCCACCATCAACAGGGCTTCATATCCCAGCTCAGCCAGAGCCTGGCATGCAGTGGGTGCTTCATAAATGCACACTGCGGTCAGCAGAATTATTACAGGAGGGAGTGTGGGAACTGGGCTGCTAATCCGGAGGGTCACGCGGGAGGCCCAGGGTCAGCCGGCCAGTGGGTTCCGGGCGGCAAGCACGTGGGGGAAGCCTCAGCTGATCGCTTCCTGCCCAGTTTATGGCAGGAACCCACACAGCTGGTCCCAAGGCTGAGCCCACCACTTCCGCCCCCCAGGTCCCAGCCCTGCTGAGTCATGCTCAGCTGCTCAGTCAGGTTGGGGGAGAGGAAGGCGGGGAGATGAAGTGATGAGGGGGAGGGGAGGGCACCTGACCGAGGCCAGAGGCCCAGTAAGGACAGAAGGTCCTGGCTGGGGAGGAGCAGACAGGAGAGCAGAGTCTTGGCTTTAACTGGCCTGTAACGTGAAGCCTGCCCTCCACAAGGACAAGATGAAAACTCGGAGGTTTCGGGGGACAGCAAATAAGACTCTAGCACAATTTCAGACTTTCGGATGTTGATACATCCATCAAGAAATTGGAAAAATCAGCGAATAGATGTGTGGGTCAGTCAAAAAAAAAAAAGAAAGAAATTGGAAAGAGGCCTGGCACAGTGGCCCACGCCTGTCACCCCAGCACTTTGGGAGATCAGGGTGGGAGGGTCGGTTGAGGCTGGGAGTTTAAGACCAGCCTGGGCAACATGGTGAGGCCCCACCTCTACAAAACGTTTAAAAAATTAGCTGGACATGATGGTGTATGCCTGTAGTCTCAGCAACTCTGGAGTCTAAGGCAAGATGATCATTTGAACCCAAGAGGGTGAGGCTGGAATGAGCTGTGATGGCGCCACTGCACTCCAGCCTGGGCAACAGAGCCAGAGCCTGTCTCCAGCAAAAAAGGAAAGAGGCCGGGCGCGGTGGCTCACGCCTGTAATCCCAGCACTTTGGGAGGCAGGTGGATCACGAAGTCGAGAGATCAAGACCATCCTGGCCAACACAGTGAAACCTGGTCTCTACTAAAAACACAAAAATTAGCTGGGCTGGGACGCACCTGTAGTCCCAGCTACTCAGGAGGCTGAGGCAGGAGAATTGCCTGAACCCAGGAGGCGGAGGTTGCGGTGAGCCGAGATTGCACCATTGCACTCCAGCCTGGCGCCTGGTGAAAGAGCAAGACTCTGTCTGGAAAAAAGAAAAGGAAAAGAAAAATTTAAAAGACAAGTCATGGACTGAGAGGTATTTTCTGCTATGCCTTTAACAGACCAAGGAGAAGCATCAGGGGCATCTGACAACCACACAGACACCACTAGACCAAAGGAAAAAAACACCAGAGAGGGCTGGGCGTGGTGGCTCACGCCTATAATCCCAGCACTTTGGGAGGCCGAGGCAGCCAGATCACCTGAGGTCAGGAGTTCGAGACCAGCCTGGCCAACATGGTGAAACCCCGTCTCTACTAAAAACACAAAAATAAGCCAGGTGTGGTGGCGGGCATCTGAAATCCCAGCTACTCAGGAGGCTGAGGCAGGAGAATCACTTGAACCTGGGAGGCGGAGGTTGCAGTGAACCGAAATGATGCCATTGCGTCTGTCTGCCTCAGCCTCCCAAGCGCTAGAAGAACAGGAATTTCTTCTCTTAGAGTTCTGGAAGCCGAAGTCTGAAATCAAGGTCCTGCAGGACTGCTTCCTCCTGGAGGCCGAGATCAGAACGTGATACCCCAAAGTATGGCTCCTTGGCAACAACTCTGTGGTTTTTGTTTTTAGAGATAGGGTTTTGCTCTGTCACCCAGGCTGGGGTGCAGTGGTACAATTGTCACCCAGGCTGGGGTGCAGTGGTACAATGATAGCTCACTGCAGCCTCCACCTCCTGGGCTCAAGCGATCCTCCCACCTCAGCCTCCCAAGTACTGGGACTAAAGGCATGCGCCATCACACCTGACCAATTACTTTTGTTTTTGTAGAGATGGGGTCTCACTGTGTTGCCCAGGCTGGTCTCCAACTTCCTCTTTTTTTTTTTTTTGAGGTAGAGTTTTGCTCTTGTTGCCCAGGCTGGAATGCAGTGGCTTGATCTCAGCAACTCCGCCTCCCAGGTTCAAGTGATTCTCCTACCTCAGCCTCCCAAGTAGCTGGGATTACAGGCATGTGCCACCACGCCTGGATCATTTTGTATTTTTATTAGAGGCAGGGTTTCTCCATGTTGGTCAGGCTGGTCTCGAAATCCTGACCTCAGGTGATCTACCCTCCTCGGCCTCCCAAAATGCTGGCATTACAGGCATGAGCCACTGTACCCAGCAAAGACAGTTATTTTAAAGTATTTGTCTAGTGCGTCTGATGTCTGGGCTTCCTTAGGGATGGTTTCTGTCTGTTAATTTTCGTCCTTTCAATGAGCCACACTTTCCTGTTTCTCTCTATGCCCTGTGATGTTTTTGTTGTTGAAAAGTGAACATTTGAATATTCTAGAATATGATAACTCCAGTTTTTTTTTGAGACAGAGTGTTGCTCTGTCACCCAGGCTGGAGTGCAGTGGTGCGATCTCAGCTCACTGCAACCTCCGCCTCCCGGGTTCAAGCGATTCTCCTGCCTCAGATTCCTGAGTAGCTGGGATTACAGGCACGCGCCACCACACACAGCTAATGTTTTTCTATCTTTAGTAGAGACGGGATTTCACTGTGTTAGCCAGCATGGGCTCGATCTCCTGACCTTGTGATCCACCCACCTCAGCCTCCCAAAGTGCTGGGATTACAAGCATAAGCCACCGTGCCCAACCTTTTTTTTTTTTTTTTTTTTTAAGACAGGGTCTTGCTCTGTTGTTGCCCAGTCTGGAGTCCAGTGGCACAATCTCGGCTCACTGCAGCCTCCACCTCCTGGTTTTAAGCCATCCTCCCTCCTCAGCCTTCTGAGTGACTGGGACTACAGGCATGCACCACCACACCCAGATACTTTTTTTTTTTTTTTT